CAAACAGTGGGTAATCTCCAAAAATAGTGAGGGTTAAACCAAACTTCCTCCTAAAACAGCCCCTTGACTGCAATTTGCCATCCTCTGTCATTAGCTGCCTTGCATGGTAAGTTTCTGAGGGCACTTGTAAACAAGTGGAGGGGTGGGGGGGGATGAACTGATAGACTGACAGTTAGCAACACATTTGCACCTTACTAAGCAGCCTTCTGGAGTGAAGTCTGTAAACAGGGCATTGATGAATTTTTGCATTTCCAGATTCGATCAGAGGAAAAACTAGTCTGAGCAAGTTTCAGAGTAGCAGCCGTGTTAGTCTCTAAGGTGCCACAAGTACTCCTGTTCTTCTTTTAGTCTGAGCAAAAAACCAAAACCAAACAATCCCCCCCCACACACACACACACAAATAAATCAAAAATAGAGCCCATTAGAGGAGGGAAATCCAGAAAGAGCCTTTTAGAACAAATTGATGTATTAAGGGGAAAACTCTTTGGATCACTTGATGTTTCCCTGTTCTGTTCACTCCCTCTGGGGCACCTGGCATTGGCCATTGTCGGAAGACAGGACACTGGGCTAGATGGACTTTGATCTGACCCAGTACGGCCGTTCTTATCTTCTTAACATGTATTGGAATGTATTTTCAAAAACCCATTTTTTTTCTCCTTTTGGCTGACAGACGTAGGGTAAAATTTGCAAAAGCGTCTAAGTGATACTGTAGAAGAATTTAAAGTCCAATTTCTCACAAGGGCCTCCAAAGTCAGTCACTTGGGTGCTATTGAAAATGTGACCCCAAGTTATATATGATTATTATTACCTAGTTCTTGTATAGCACTTTTCATCAGTAGCTCTCAAATCTGAAATGACAGTGATCTAAGGTGATACTGTTAATAAATTCCCCCCCCAAACAGAACCAGTTTAAATGCCCATGTTTTTTCTTCCAAATCTTTTATACAAATAATTCTGGTGATTTCGCTGACAAGTCAACAAAATCCACTTTAACTAAAACCACTAGAGATAGATAATCTGGGAAAGCACTGAGATCGATTTAAAATAATGGATTTTGCAGAATGGCCAGGCAAGGAAACAGAAAACATGGTTTTGAGTGTTGAAAAAACACTTTAAATAGCTCAAAGCATTTAAAAGACGGTTTTGATGATTTTGCAAAACCTGTATGAATTACATTCAGATCTTTTCTTTTCTTCCTAGTTCATAACGTGATTTGCGAAATCAAGTTTTCCTCTTTGAGGGGATAATAAGTTATTTTACCCAAAGGAACAACTGAATAGAAGACCTTTTAGCAGTGTTGTGTCTGAAATGTTTTGGTAGCATTTAGCTTGTTTCTGGCACAAAAAAAGCCATGAATCCCTGAAGAATTGCAGAATGCCACAATTTGATCCCAAAAGGTATGAATGTATTTTTCTCTCTAGAGATAGATTGCAATATATATATATTTATATATAGACACATTATTATTTTATTATTATTAGAATGTCATCAGTTTTGTTTATGTTAAATATGCATATTGAAATATACTCTCCGGAATTCTATAATTATTATTTAAATGAACAAAGCAAGATGCATGCATCCTTTGTCAGGAAGCAAACAAAATAACTGAGCTGAACTGTAGAATATTGTTACAATTCATAACAATGCAATTGTAGTACAACCAATATTCTGATAATTCTTTCCCCTTCTCTCAGTTAATTAATAGGAATTTAGATCAATCACATCTCCCTGAGAGTTTAAACTTAGACCTTAAAACAGAATAATAAAGATTTAGTTTTGAAGAGCTTTTTATGCATCATTTTTCGTTTGCGTTTTATGTATTGAAGATAACTTCACAATTAGAAGGGTCCTTTTTAAGGCTAATGGTGATGACTTAAAACGTGAATTATTATTCTTTTGAGTTGGAATGAAACCGACAAGATTATTCCTGGTTGGATTTGTTTCTGAAGGGAGGTTACCACATTTGAACGTAGTTCTTTTACAGTGTTGATCATAGCAAAACAAAAGAGAAATCTTTTTTCCCATCCTCTCTAGATACAGGGTTTACCCTGAATCATTTCGCACTGGCATTCGCATGATGAAAAGGAATATAAGTGCTTTCTAGAGCTGTAGCCAACCTTAATATTTTTTGGTGAAATTTGTCAGCGAGCCATTTTGTAACGAAACTTATATTGTTGTCAACTTCTTAGGCTGAGTGAAATATACAAATGGACCCGCAACTTGGCTGTGGTTACGACTGGCCAAATTTTCTCCCAGTTCAGTGTGATCTGTTCACTGAATTGTGGGTTTAAGCCCAGGCTGTGTGAATATGACAAATCACGCTACAAAAAATTCTTTGGCCTCTTGTCACTCAGTACAAAACCTTAGTTCCTTCACACCAACTTTGTTATTACTTTGTCATTATAATTATAGGAACCACTTTGTTTAAGATCCTTCTAAAAAATCTGTCTCCATTTCCATTAATCAGATGTTTGAATCTGCAGGGAAAAAATCAGATTTTTTTTAAATCACAATTTCATTTTCAATTTGTTCTAATTTGGTGCCAGTTTAAGCCACCTTGTCCCCAGCCAGGTTACAATCTTTGCAACAGGAAAAAGCAAAAATTAATTTCCAATTAGTTAAATTTTTTTTGCAAAAGCATGAGTAATGCCGTTTTAAAATTATCTCCATTTAAAACAACTCCAATCCCAGAGAATGCTGCGTGGCTGTT